TTTTTTTTTTTTTTTTTTTTTTTTTTATTTTTTATTTTTTTTTTTTTTTTTTTTTTTTTTTTCAATTTAAAAATATATTAAATATATCTTTTTATTCAAGTATTTTTTTGTTCTTCTTGTTGTGCATTTAAATCAGCTTCAAATAGATATTTAATTTTATTAAGTACCTCATTGTTGTATGTATTTTCATATTTGCTATAAAAATTAGATGTAGCATCATATAAAATTTTGAAAGCGTTGATATCATCAAAAAATCCTTTTCTATATTCATCAGTGCTATAATCAGAACAATCATCATAATCATAATAAGCATCATCATCATCGTCATCATCCTCCTCATTAAAATTATTTTCAACCTCATTATTGTAATTATTATCTTTCTGTACAACATTATCTAGGTTTTCTAAATCAACATTATCTTTTAATTTTATTTTTAAGTCATTTTTTTTTTCTAAAGCTTCAATAGTCTTAATTAATTTAAATGCCTTTTCGTTAGTAGCATCTTCATTTTCATCTATATCTACTTCACTGTTATCATCTACTGATGAAGTATCTGTATCATATGATTTTTCAGATGCTTCTTTTGTGTTTTTATTTTCATAATAAGAATTGGCTACATTAACTAAATTTAAAATAAAAGAGTTCACTTCATTAATATGCATGCTGATATTAGAATTATGTATATTTTCTAATATAGTACTCATAGCTAATAAATATAACTTTCTTGTATTATTAATCTTTACGTCACTTAAATTTGAAAGAAATAATAAAATATAGTTAGTTTTATTCATATTATTAAAGAAGAGAAAAAATTTATCTACATCATAAATTATGATTGCATAAAATAAATTTTTGATATATTCTATACTTGTTTTACTTAATATATCTTCATCATATTCACTACATATACTTTCAGTTTCATCATTATTTCCGATGGAATCTTTTTTCTTTTTATCCATTATAGTCGTAACTTCATCATGTTTAAAAATCTTCAAAGAGAAAGCAGTTAAAACAGGAATAATTAATTCATCAACTCCCCTTATTTTAACAGTAGCTTCAAATAATATAAAAAATAACTTGCAACTACCTTTTATAATTTTTGAATGTAATGCAAATATTCCCAATCTATAAACCATATGAATATATTTCATAGAATACGTTTGACTATACATATTTACAAAATATTCTGTCGCTTTAGATATTATATTATCAAAAACACCAATAGAAAAAGAAAAATCAAAAATGAAATCATAAAAATAGGCATCATTATTTTTTTCGTTCATTATTAAATCAGTACTTAATATCAGCTGTGGATTACTTCTAATTAAATTAATTTCTTGCATTTTTAAGTCTTCATCAGAATTAAAATAAAATATATCATATAATTTTTCAAATCGTAAATAAACTTGTTCATCTATATCTAAATAATAAGTTATATTAGTTAAAAGTGACAAAGCTTCTTCTAAATAATCAATCGATGGTGATTTAAATGTCTCATCTACTACTACATATAAATAAGATACAGTATTTTTGTAAATTTCCTCTTTATTTCCTTCATCTACTGAATCTAAAAGACTTAATATTGCCGTCAAAATAGATAAAATAACTGAATTTAAATCTAATTCTTCATTTTCAGTTTTTTTTCCTTTTTTTTCATTCATACCGTATTTTTGCTTAATGATAGAATTTTCATTCATATTATCACCATTATTTCTTAAATTATGTTCTAATGAATTATTCCCATTTTCTTCTACATCTTTTTTATTAATTAAATATACAAAACTAGAACACAAAGCTATAATTACATCATTTACATATGGAGTAATATAATCTTTGAAAGTGTAGGCCAAATTATCAAGAGTCATCACTATATATTCACATTTTATTTCTTTAATTACATTTAATAAACGTTCAATTAATATAGGTATTGTTTTAATAATTGCATTTTTTAAAAAATCATTCTTAATTTTAAAGAATTTTTTAATATATGATGCACTAGCTACTCTAATTAATAAGCTGGAACTACTCATATGATTTAATATGATTTCATAATTACGCAAAAGATTATTTAAATCACTAAAATGTTGTACCTTTTTAATAAAACAACAATATGTAACAATTGATTGATAACATAACAAGTAATTTGGGCTATTTAAATCATTTTCAACATACGTTTTTAAAAACTCCTCTATATTCATATTTCTTTTTTTATCACACAACCTATTATAAAGACACTCTAATATTTTTAAAGCACCATATTTATATTTACAAAAATCATTACCAAGTAAAGTTTCCATATCATTTTGATTTTCTTTTTCATTATTATTAGAATTATAAATATTGTTATTATTATATATCATATTATAATTTTCATTATATGTACTTATAATATTTTCGCATAATAGAAATAAATCAGATATATGTTTTAAACCACGATAACGTGTTAAATCTTTTATAAAAGAGCTAGCACTTGCTTTTTTATCTTCTACAACATATGTGTTAAATATATTAATTGTATAATCGTATTCATCATAAATAACTTTTTCTATATCATCTTGATTATAACACAATATTGGAAAAATAATATTTCTAACTAAAAAATCCACGTTATTTTTTATATAATTTTTATAAATTAACGAATTTTCTACACCATATGATAACCCTTGCAATACAAAAACTAAACATTCATCTGTTAATGTTTTCTTATTTTTATGATAACTTTGTAAAATGATAATAAAATCTTCAAAAAGGGGACATAACCATTTATTTAAAAAAATTTCACAAAATTTTTTCGTAATATCATTATTAAATTTATTATAGTTTGTATTTACATATCTAGAAAATAATCTAGTAATTATATCTAAAACTATTCTTTTACATTTAAATTGTGGTAATTTTTTTAAATAATTTTGATCTTCTATATAATTAGGAACTACTATTTCATTTTTTAAAATAAAATCAAATAAGCTAAAATAGTTATCCATATACTCCAAAATAATAACTTCTTTAATCAAATAACTATCATTGACATAGTAATATATTTTACAAATGATGCTTAAAATTTCACTAACATCATTATTATTTATATCTAACGAACTTAAATCATATAAGCAATTTATTAATGGATAAAAATATTTATTTAAAATTTCTGTATATAATTCGTTATTTTCCTTTTTTTTTATTTTTAATTTTTTAAAAATCAATTTCAAACAGTATAAACTAACATACAACTTCCTAACATCTTTTCTTTGATTTATGTCTTCTAATATATTATCTAATATATAAAAATATTCTGGAAAATTGTTATGAATCAATATTTTCATTATTTCAAATAATTGAATGTAGAGTTGTTTATCTTTCATTTCTAAATATAGAAGGCTTTCATATATACTTTTTGTTAATGCACTTATTTCTTCTTTTTTTAGTCTGTCATAATTATTTTTTATGCTATTTTTCAAAAAAATAGATGCAGATATTCTTATATTATCATCTACAACATTATTACTTTTAACAATATTTAATATAACATTTATATATCCATCTAATTTTGTGATTTGCTTTAAATATTCTTCACATTGACTTCTTTTCTCTTTTGAATCACTAATAGATCCTTCTAAAACCTCACATAATTTTTGAGTACTTAATAATTCATTCATTATATTCTAAAAAATTTGTAAATATTATATTTTGGTAAAAAAAAAAAAAAAAAAAAAAAAAAAAAAGAATATGAAAATAATTTATATCTCTAAAATAATGTATCTGTTAAAGATAACTTATAATTTAAATTTTCAATATTTATTCTAATATTTTTTTTTTTTTTAAATTTGTTATAATTTCTTTGATACTTTTACAATAAACTATTTTTATTTATAAACAAAAGTTTTAGATGTATAAATTTTATTTCATAAAATAATTATATGATAATTCAAATATATTACATGCATACATTTCTTTATAATCAAATTAAAAAATATTAATGTAGTAAAATAAGGAAAAGAAAAGTAAACAAATTTGTAAACTGATTATTTACAACAATTAAATAAACAGTGATACATATAAAAAATGAAGAATACATAAGCAAATTTATGAATGACAATACATATATTTTTTTTTATATATAAAAGATAATAATTTCACATATATATATATATATATAAAAAAAAAAAAAAAAAACTTTTATCTTTATTTTAATAAATGTTAAAAATCATTTAAAAAAAAAAATATATATATTCATATACATATATATCTTTTTAATATCCATAGCATATCCATATTTTTTTTATTTTTGTAAAGATTTAGCTTTGCAAAAATATATAAAATTATTATACCATTTTTATTTTTCCCTATAAAAATTTTTTTTTTTTTCATATATTACATTATTATTTTTTTTTTTTTTTTTAAAATAATAATATGGATGTAGATCTTACAGACTCTCAAATGTAAAAATATATATATATATATTTTTTTTTTTTTTTCTTTTTATGTACAACTGTAGCCAGTTATATATATCATAATAATAATGAGAAAAAAGAAAAATAAAAAGTAGAACATAAAATATGTGAATAGTTAATATTATGTAATTTTAAGAAATATATAAAATAGATGCAGATTTTTTTTTTTTACTAATTCTCTTATTTTTCTGTTATTTTGTATTGTTTCTTTTTTTTTTTTTTTTTA